TTATGCATTCAAAAACCTTACTCTTCCAAAAAAAACCCAAAACAAAACAAAATAAAAAAACCCCAAAACCTTACTCCGAGAAAGGGTCTCTAGGCTTCAGCAGAGGGCCCAAGGGGTCTGTGACACAAACAAAATTGAGAACCCCTGGATTAAATGGAGTGTGAAGTCCCTTCCAGCTGTGACATTCTGTGGGATGATCAAGCCCAGGACTAGGATGGTGGCAGCAGGAATGAAGAAGGGGCATAGAGGGCAGACAGAAGAAAGAATCAACAGGACTCAGTAACTGATTAGATACAAGAGAGGAAGACTGATAAAAGAATAAGCAGGAAAGGAAGCAAAGAATTCAGGTGACTGGGAATCTTTACAAGAGAAGTGATTAGGAAAACAGTAAGCTTTCTGAGAAAGAGAACATTTTAAAGAAGCTTGTACTAATAGCTTAAAGACATGGAAGAATGATCATGACAATAGTACCTTCTGGTGGCAGAAGAGAAAAGGCATGAAGGCAAGCCCATTTTCTAGGGAGAGCGATAATGACAGGCGAACTGGCAACAGCTCACATTTCTCTAGCACTCACAAGGCTGATGAGCCCTGCCGGGTAGGTGCAGGGGGTCTTTAAGCAGAGCCTGAGCTCTGTTCTGAGGGAAGCTGTAGAAGGTAAAGGCTCAGACTATGCTGACCTGTAAAGTCCCTTGTAACACTGAGAGTCTAGCTGAAGTCACTAGACATTATTCTCCATTTTATAGATATGGAAAGTGAGGTTCAGAGACAGGAAGTGACTTGTTCATAGTCACACAGCTCAGAGATACCAGCTGCCACTCAATCTCATGTCTCCTGGATCCAGGGCCCTTTCTACTATACAAAGTGGGTGGGCACTCAGTCTGCTGATTGAGTGCAGAGTTCAGTTTTTGAGATGTTCTGTAAGACTGGCAATATGTAGTTGCATATTGTAATATGTAATTGTATCTACAATGCAGATGAGAAGAGGGCTAGAGTTGGAGGGAATCATCCACATAGAAGGTGATGGTTGAAGCTGTGAGGATGGATCAGTTCTGTGAGAAAGAGTGTCATATAGATTAAGGATCAAAGGTCATCGAATTTCAGGGAATGGTTATATTAAAGAGATGGGAAGGAAAGAACTCAGGATAGGAGAGATAAAAGGAGTAGTTAGAGGGGTAGGAAGTGAACTAGAAGGCAGCAGTGTCATGAAAACCAAAGAGGGGAAAGGAAAAGAACATTAAACACAGCGATTAAGTCAGTGAGTGGTGGGTACCAAAGTGAGATTACAGAGGGCTAAGGAGTGTGTATGAATGTGTACAGAAGAGACAGGGGGAGAAAAGGGAGAAGAAAAGATAGACATGAGAGAGATAGGGAGAGCTACTAATTTAAAGAATTTCTCAGTGAAAGAGGACAGTAATTAGAGGGTAAACCATGAAGTTCTTTTAAAGATACCATTGGAATAGAAAAAGAGTCAAGAATTACTAACTGGCTATGAGAACTTGAGAAAGTCACTTATCTACTTTGAGTTTCAGGCTTTTCTCTGTGTAACTTGTTTTTGACTAAATGCCAAACTTGGGAATAGGTGTAAACCACCTATCCGGCGGTCAGTCCCCTAGTCCGGTCTCTTTGCTCCCCGTGGGAGTGGCTAGAAGGGGGTTACATTCAGAGGCTGCTGGTCTAGTTAATCATTAAAGGTCCCTGACAATTCTTAACCTTTATAGGAAACCTGAAGATTTCCTGGTAGCAGCCAGTAGAGACATGGACTTGTTGGAGAAGGGAGCCTCAAGGAAGTAAAGACTCCTGGAGACTGCTAGTCTCTGGCACAGGTGGAGGTTTTAGTTTTGAGAGAAAGGACACAACTTTCCCTGAGAGTTGAGGATTGGATCTTAGAGGCTGAGACAGTTGATGTGAAGAGAAAGAGAAGAAACTTTATGCTTGACAGCCTCAGTCTTTTCCAAAGACACAGCCCCTCCTATGTTGCCCCTTCAAGTACCAGATGGTCTTGTGGGAAAAGGACAACTCATATCCCCTAATTACAGATCAATAGCAGCTCCTGAGCCCAACTGGGGAAGCACATACTATCTGCCCTATGTACTAATGATGGAGTGATGGAATGTGCTCCAAGCTTAAAGAGTGAAAACAGCCAAGGGTCAGGAAGCTGTCATTAGCCAGAGAAGAGTTTGGGAAGGACTGGAGTCAGGTACCAGTGGATATGGATGGGTCTGACCAACCTGCTACCAGGTACTTTATGAGTCAGCTTTGCAAGGAGCCACTGCTCCGGTTCTCTTACTCCTTGTTTATCCTAAGGAGACTCCAGCTTCAAACTTTCAGAGCCAGAATTCAAACCTAGTTCCTCTGAATCTGAAGGTTCCTCTGAATCTGAAGGGACGGGTGGGTTGGTATGGTAGAAGATGTACTGAATTTGGAGTCAGGATCCAGGCTCAATTTCCTTGCTCTTTTCCTTGCCACCCTTGTGACCTCAGGCAAGTCTCTTCGTTTCTCTGGACTTCATTTTCCTCATTTACGAAATTATGGGTTTGAGGGGCAGCTAGATTGCGCGGTGGATAGAGCACCAGCTCGGTGTCAGGAGGACCTGAGTTCAAATTCAACCTCAGACACATGATACTAACTGTGTGACACTGGGCAAGTCACTTAACCCCAATTGCGTCACCAAAAAAAAAAACCCAAAAACAACCCCAAAATGATGGGTTGGAACTAAGATGATATCTGAGAACTCTTTTAGATCCTATGAGCTGAGTGACCCTAGACAAGTCACTTAATGCCCTAACCCTCAGTTTCTTTGTCTGTAAAATAGGAATAATACCTGCCCCAAAAGTTTGGTGCAATGGGAAAAGTACTTTGCAAACTGTAAAAAGATATATTATGGGTTATAGATATTCTATTATATAATTATATATTGTAATATATATGAGTTGCTTCTAGGAAATTCTGATTTTAGAACTGTTGAGAGCTAGGAAATAGCCTAGGCTGGAATTCTCTGCTATCTCCCAATGTTTAAGGGCTGTCGTCTACCTCCATTTACCTGGCTCCACCTTCTCCAGCTTCCCACCAGATCTCAAAATCAAAATGGTTTGGTTGATGTATTGGCACTTGACTGTAGCAAAGGTGAGAGAGTAGGCCTCACCCTAGTAAAATACTTCTGAGTATGACAGTGAGTGAAAGTACTAAGTTGGTCTGGGAGGCCCCTGGGACCAGCGATCACTCCAGGTACATCCCCAGAGGCCAGGGTGCTGCAGGGGAATTTTCTAGGGACTCTCCCCTGCATTGTAGGTTTCCAATCCTGCCATTGTAGGCCCTGGGATAAATGTCCTACAGCCCCAGTGGGGAGTCCCGAAGGGTTATGAGAACATCCTCCCCTCTCCTCAGTGCTCAATGCTCCATCTACTTGCAGTTGACTCACCTGTCCACAAACCCTCTCTGAGCAGGGCTTGGCCTGGGAGCACCCTGGCTTAGGGCTCTTTGGCTGAGCTCCACAACGGTAGCAGTTGACTGCAGAAACTCCAGGTGAAGTTAATGTGTCCTATTTACGACAGCTGGCTCCACCCCCTACCCCCCCTTTCTGGGAACTGGAGCGAACTGACAAGTTCAGTCCCTCTTTTCTCATCACAGCCTTCCCTAATGGGCTGGGTTGAGTTAAAGCTTCCTACCCACCCCTTCCCCATCAAATTTCTATTTGGGCACGATAGGAACGCTTGTCAATTGCTTGTTTAGGGGAGCTGTCAAGGGCCCCAAGTGTATGGGCAACCCTGACCTTTACTTCCACCTCCCCTGGAACCGACCAGGACTAGCTTAGGGCTGGGTTGTGAGCACCCCAGAGAGAAACTGGCGCAACCTGTCCCAGCTCAATGCATCTCTGCACAATTGGGTGTGTGCTTCAGGGGTCTGGTGGAAAGCTGCTGAGAAACTAGGCTAGGGAATGAGGAAGCACTGAGGACAAGAGAGGCCGGGAAGGCCGTTTAAGCTGGTGGAAATTTTTCACATTCCTCCCTCTGAGGTACAAGTTGATGTGCAATCAGGGCATCTTCCTGTTTTCCCTGCCCCCAGCACCAACCCTCTGCCAAAAAAGAGGAGGAAACATAAACATCCTCCCCGACATGATGGCTTGGTCACAGACTCATTGTGACTAGCTCGAGGCTGTTTGGCACAGTGAAGAGAGTGTGGGATCTGGGGTCAGGAAGATCTGGGTTCATATCCCTCCTCTGACACCTACTGGCCATGTGAAGGCGGGTGATTCCTAGCCTCTCAGCTTCACTTTCCCCACCTGTAAAATGGGAACAATACCAGTAATTTTTACCCCACCTAGTTGTTGCAAAGGTCAGATGAGATATATAAAGTTCTTGGCCACCTTAAGGCTCCCTATTATTACTTTAAATCACCAATCATTATTTAGTCTTGGAAGGGATCCTTAGAGCTCATGAGCATTTGGTCCAGCTTCTTTGTTTGATGAAAAAGCTGAGGCCCAGGAAGGTCAGTTGACATGGCCAGCAAGGGACTAGGCCTAGATTCAAATTCAGGTCTCCCTACTCTAGGATTTAATGCTCTTTTACCTAAGCCACACTGTCTCAGCCTCTACTATCTTCAGTGTTTCCTTCTAATATTTCCCTGGCCCAACTCACCTCCCTGGGCCTCAGCTTTTCTTCTGTAAAACTGACTTTGCTAGAACATGGGATTTTAGAATTTTACAGACACAGAGACTAAGACTCAGTGAAAAGTGACTTGTCCAAGGCCTTTATGCTGCCAATAGCTTTCTTAAAATGTTTAAATATAAGGCATTTATCATTGTGACTGAGCCTCAAACCACTCTTCTCACCCTCCACCTGGGATAAAGAGGAGAAGGTAGTAGGAGTAGAAAGAATTCAAGGATTTGACCTCCAGGAACAGAAATAAAAGGATCTACCCAATTTCTCCTCCCACCTCCCTTTCCCCTCCATCATAATAACTCCAAATGCTCAGCGCACAGCTAGAGAGGCAGTCAGGGTCAATAATCTCAAACTAGGCCTGTTTATTTCCAAAGTCAAGAAAAACCCACTCTTTGCCCTTTCTAAATAACATACAACAGTTAAGCCCACACCCTACCCCTCCTGTGTGTGCCTTAATACAGAATATAAGTTAACAGACTCTTACAAAACAATGTGCAGAGCAAATACACACAAATTTCATATACATAGAGCCAGGGCTAGGCTTGGAGGTAGAGTCAAGTACATTTCTTATAAGGAGATGGGCTGATACCATCCCCTGGACTCAGCAAGGGATGTTTTAAGTTCTCTAGCAGGCTGCACATCCATTCCTCCGCTCCCTACCTTCTCACTGCCAAACTGTGCCTTGTTTCCTCAATGCTTCTTCTGTGCACTCCCCACTGGGCATGACTAACAGTATCCACACACTGACATCATTCATAATTCTTATCACCTAATGGAGCACTCTGACTCCCATGGGCAGCTCCCCTGGCCCTGGACTGGGTTCAGGAACATCACTTACCTGAGCCTGGGGCCTAAGGTAGGATGTCCGGGGGAAATTGCTTCCAAAGCAGATGTCCCTGTCTTGAGCCACACAGGCTAGACATAAACCTTCTTTTCCTCTCTCTTCTCACTTATCAGTTAACCATTAAACCCTTCTGCTACAGATCATCCATTGACACTACCTCCCCTTATTCTCAATCCCTTAGCTATAGGTTTTAAAACCCCAGTGATATTTGTGGTGAACAGTTTTTTTGATGGGGTAGGTTGGGGGAATAGGGAGAGATCTGTGAGGATTCTTCCTCCTAAGCCCATTGGAAGGCCTGGCAAAGCAAATGACTCCAAAGCCAAGCCCTAGAACCTGAGTCTTCTGGCTCCTTTGTGTTCTGATCCCAAAATCATGGCTAAGAAGACTTAGACTTGAGTTGTAAAGCAAGTCCCATTCACCATCCCCCTCAACATATGACTCATCTTCCCCTATTCCTGGCCTAAGGAAATGGAAAATACAGCATCCCTCCTCCCTTCCCCTACCCAAGGCAAACAGCAGTCCAAGACACTTCGATCTTCTTGGGCCCCCATGTTAGTGGAGTAGCTCTGGGTGGGAGTGGGTCAGAGGGCTCTTCCATTTTGGGGAGTGAAAACTTTGGGACTGGCTGTAGTCAAAGATAACCCTCTCCCAGAAGTAGTGAGCACTTAGAGTAAGATTTGAGGGCCAGCCAGATGTAAACTCCACCTGCTCTACCAGGCCCATTAGGAATACCACGGGGTTCCAATCAGGACTTCTAGCCCTTAGTAGACCAGGGGACTGGGGACAGTATGCATGCTATTATAGTCTGCTCACAGACTATTTATGGTTTAAACTTTTAAAAACCTCATAAAATTTTTTGCATACATTTTTGGGGGTGGGGGAGGGGCATAGGTCCTAACCTACCAGAAACTTGGGCTTTGGCTAATCAGGGATCCTAGCCAAGTGTCTTCCCCCTTTCCTTCCCTCCCCTCCAACACCTAAGTCAATCCAGGTGTTAATGACAGTGTTTTGTCAAACAAAACCCAAACAGGAGACTTTCATTCTTTCCAGAAGACTGCTTCTCATTGTCCATCTCTCATCTAAGTTCCAGCCCATTGAGGCAGGCAAAGAGCTCAGGATGGGGCTTTTCGATGTGCTCCAGAGTACACGTAGGAAATGGGTTGTCGGGTTCCAGGCCGCACTGTGAAGGTGTTGAGGGGACTGCTGTATTGAGCACTGCTGGGGGAGGACCTGGGATTGGGAAAAGAGGCAGTCAGAGCATTGTAGGCAACTAGTCTGATGAGTGTATACACACACACACACACACACACACACACACACACCCAGGCCCGTGGTGCTACATTATTGCCAGAGAAAAGAAATTCCATGAGTATTTAACTGAAGCATCTTCAGCCTAGCCCCAGGTTCCCAGTCCCAGATCCCTCGCTCCTATAGCCTGGGCCCACTTTTCCTCAACAGTGTCTCATAGAAATGGGCACTTACTGCGGCTAGGGGTGGACAGGGATGGCCCAGAATAAATATATGTTGACAAAATTGCCAGCCCCTGGAATTCTAGGGTTCTACACCAAAAACTTAGCCTAAAGCTATTGGATTTCAAGGAGAAGGAAGAGTAGAAATAGAAGGGTAGTGGGTGGAAAAAGAATCTAGGAAAAGAGGTGAGGAAAGTAAGGCAAGGTGAAGAGGCAATTGCAAACAAGAAGGGGATGGCACTAGTTTAAAAAAAATCCTATTCTCCCCACTGGCTCTTCCAAACCCTTTTATCCCTCCTCAAACCTTCCATGGCTCCCACTCCCCTCACTGTCTCAGCTGAGATCCTTGACTCATATTTTATATAAAAAATTTAGGCTATTTGCCAGGAGCCCTTTTCTCCCCTCTTCCTCCTTTCCTATTACTCAGATGCCTTCTCCCATTATCTCTCCATCCCCATCTCCCATGATAAGATGGTCTTACTCCTTACCAGGGCTAGCACTGCTACCTGTTCTAGCGATCCCATTCCATCTCATCTCCCCCACCAGATTACTCTCCCTGAAATCCCCATTTTGTCACTTATTTTCAATCTCTCTCTATCTACTGGCTCATTCCCCACTGCCTACAAATACACCTGTCTACCCTATCCTTAAAAAAACCCTCACTTAGGGGGCAGCTAGGTTGCACAGTGGATAGAGCACTGGCCCTGGATTCAGGAGGACCTGGGTTCAAATCTGGCCTCTGACAACATAACACTTACTAGCTGTATGACCCTGGGCAAGTCACTTAACCCCATTGCCTAACCAAAAAAAGCCAAACAAACAAAAAAAACAATCCAACCTGGCCTGAGACACTTGACACTTACTAGCTGTGTGACCCTGGGCAAGTCACTTAACCCATGGCCTAGCCAAAAAACCCTGACTTGATTCTTCCATCCTAGAAAGGCAATAGAAATCACCTATATCTCTCTTTTTCTCTATGTAGCTAAATTCCTTGGAAAAAGTCATCTTCACTAAGTGTCTCCGCTTTCTCTTCTTAACCCTGTACAATCCAGCTCTAGCTTTATCATTCCACCATAACTGCTCTCTCTGAAGTTGCCAATTTCAATGGCTTTTTCTCCTTCCTCATTCTCTTTGACCTCTCTGCAGCCTTTGACACTGTCAATCCCTCTTTCCTCCTTGATATCTCTTCCCTCTAGGTCTTTTTTTTTCTTTTTCTTTTTTTTGGTGAGGCAATCAGGGTTAAGTGACTTGCCCATGGTCACACAGCTAGTAAGTGTTAACTGTCTGAGGCTGGATTTGAACTCAGGTCCTGATGACTCCAAGGCCAGAACTCTATTCACTGCACCACCCAGCTGTCCCTTTCCTCTAGGTTTTTGAAACACTTTTCTCTCCTGGTTGGCCTCCTACCTATCAGACTGCTCCTTCCCGGCCTCCTTTGCTGGATCTTCTTCCAGATCATGCCCTCTAAGCACAGGTGTCCCACAGAGTTCTGTCCCAGGCCCTTTTCTCTTCTCCTTCGATACAACTTCACTTGGCGATCTCATCTGCTCCCGTAGGTTTCATTACCATCTCTATGATGACAATTCTCAAATCTACCTTTCCTGCCCCAACCTCTGCTGACCTCCAGTCTCACACCTCCAACCGCCTTTCTGACATCTCCAAGTGGATGTCTAGTAAACATCTGAAACTCAACAGCTCCAAAACAGAATTCATTATCTTTCCCCTAAAAATCCTCTCCCCCTACTTTCCCTTTTATTGGAGCAGGCAGCACCTCTGCGGGCTTAGAACCGTGGAGCTATCTTCCACTCCTCACTCTCTCTCGCCTGCCATATCCAAACTGTTGCCAAGGCTCGTAGATTTCACCTTTGCAGCATTTCTTGAATATGCCCCCTTTTCTTCTCTGACACTGACACCACTCTGGTGCAGTGCCTTATCATCACCAGCCTGCCTCAAGTGTCTCCCTAATCCAGTCCGTCCTCCTTTCAACCACTAAAGTGATTTTCCTAAAGCACAGATTCGATCATCCCTCCCCCACCCCAGTACTCTGTTTGGTATTCAAAGCCCTTTATAACCTAGCTGGTTCCTTCCTACCTTTCCTGTCTTCATACAGCTCATCCCTCTAACGTGTATTCTTTTAAGAACAAGACACTACACCTTTCCAGTCCAGGCATTTTCTCTAGCTGTCCTCCATGCCTGGAATGTTCATACTCCTCAACTCCACCTACTGACTGCCTTGGATTCCTTTAAGTACCAACTAAAATCCTATCTTGTATAGGAGGCCTTTCCCAACCCCTCTTAATTCTTTCTGTTCATTATTTTCCATTTATCTTACACATAGCTTGTTTGTTTAGATTTGTTTGTATGTATGTTGTCTTCCCTATTAGATGGGGAGCTCCTTGAGGGCAGGGACTGTCTCTTACCTCTTTTTGTATCCTCAGGCTTTAGCACAGTGCCTGGCATATAGTAGGTGCTTAATAAATGTTTATTGACTAATTGATTGATTCCTCCCCTCCTCCCCCACCACTGAAGGAGCAGGTTGTGGGAAGGAGTAAATTTCTTTACTCTCTTTAATAGGTCACACATAGCAGAGCTGCTGAAGCAATAGCCCGTCCTCACAGTGAAAAGAACACTGATTTGTAGCCAGAAGCCCTGGATTTGCACCCTTATCCTACCACTTATTATGTTCTGTGAGTTTAGGCACACTACTTTTCTGGGCTGCGGTTTCCTCATCTGCACCATGGGGATAATACTTGAGCTATTTATCACCTGCTTCTTTTTTGTAGGAGGCATAGTGGAAATGTGAGAAGTTTTCTCACCACCTTAATGATATCAAGAAACAGGCCCTTAGAGAAGCAGGTGCTTCTGATGGATTTGGGGTTTAGGGGGAGAGGAAGAGGAAGGCTATTCAAGAGGCCCAGAGGCCTAGCAAGGAAGGGAAAAATGGCAGAAGGTATCACTACCCCAGTAGTTCTGTCTTGTGATTTGTATTTGAGAGCAGAGAAAATACCCTCAAGGAGGGCTGGCTGCAGCTGGGGTCTGGTGGTGAATGCTGGTCTCTTTCTTTAGAAGGAGGAAGGAAAAGAGAAGAGAGGGATGGTGGAAGAAAAAGAGAAGAGGGGAAGAAGATATTTCCAACATCTGAAAATCATTACTGGGTATGAGAGGAGAACACCCAAAGGGTGCCTAGCAAGTCACCTCTGATGAGGTTGCTGTAAGTAGCTTATCGCAGTCTGGCCTGGCTCAGCACCTCTCCCTTCCCAATATCTTCCTGTGTCTACCCCAGGACTCACCTGCTGGCTGCTGGGGCAAAGCTGTAGTCCATATTAGATACTTTGTATATATTCTCCCCAGGTCCACCACTGCCAACTCCCCCTCCTGCATAGGGTCCATTCCTTCCATTCCCTTCTAGGGATAGCTTTCGGGTATGCAGACCCCCGGGTGCCTGGCCTGAAGAATTAACACGTCTCATCTCTGTTCCTCTGTGCCCTGACCCATAGGTTCCACCAGGATGAGGCCCAAAGGCATTTGGGGTACTCAGACTTCGAGCAGTTCCACCTCCTGGACCACAGCGTGGGGGTCCAGGGCTCCTCCGAGGCTCATTGAGGTAGAGGCGTTTCTTAATGAGGGAGCGGCCCCCACTCGAGAAGCGTTCCAAGCCCCCACTACCACTGTGGTGGACACCAGGGTAGTAGTGGGAGTAGCTATTTCCCGGGGATCCTGCGGGTGATGGCCGCTCGTAGCCTGGAAGGCCCAGGTCCAGGGTCTGGCCATAGTCTGAGAAACTGCTTCGCAGAGGAGAACCCCTATGGCCCAGGTAGGCTGGGGTTGGGACTGGAGCTGGGGCTGGAGCAGGAGGCGTGTTGGAAAGATCAGCATCATTGCTGAACTCAGGGGGTGGTGGGATGACCTCAAAGTCAAATTCTTCCCCCTCGTCCTCACTTCCCTTGTGTGAAGGGGAGGATGGTGAAGAGAAGGACTTGGGCAGCAGGTGGCTTTGGGGGCTGTAGGAAGAGGTTGACCTCTCCTGACCCAGCAAGGCCCGAGTCTCCTCCTTTGACCATCTCTGCCTGGGCTGGGACTCTGAAGTCACTGCACCTCTTGGGGATGGGGAGCCCCATTTGCTGGTTCTGTCATGCTGAGTTGATGTGGACATCTGGGGAGCCTGTTCTACCTCCCTCGTGGGTTTGGGCACAACTGTGAAGGAGTTAGGCCTGACTTCACTGTAGATGATGCTTTCAGAGACAGACTCTGATTGATTTCTGTTGCCACGGAGACTCCCTGGCAATGAGGACCGGCCCAGGTCACTGCCCCTAGCCCGTCCCTTCTGGGCCCTCTGTTTGGCAGCGAGCAGTAAGGCCATTGGAGATCCTCTTTCCACCACCTCCCCTGTCACTGGGTGTCTGAGGACCTCCCTGTCTGACCGATCTTCTCCAGGGGTCTTGACTGATGGGCTTTCATTTTCCCATACTTCTTGAGGCTCCCTCTTGGCAGGGCTGGGTGTTACTACAGCAGCTTCCTGGCCAGAGTGTGCCTTGTCTTGGCCCTGGTGGGGTTTGTAGAGAACCGGCACCTCCTCTTGGGCTAGGGGAGTCTTTGGTGCAGGGGCAGGTGAAGGAGGTGTCCCCATCCTATCAGGTTTCGGAGGCACCAAAGGGGAATCCTTAGCCTTGGGGGGAGAAGATATTGCTGATGGTTGAGACTCTGTGGCTTTCTCCCCTGGTCCAACAGTTCTGGCTGTGGGGACGCCCAAGTCCTTCTCTGCTTCAGGTTTGGGTGGGGTGGGCAGAAGTGGGAGCTTCTTGGCCACTGGCTTAGGAAGCTTGGCATCCCAGCCCCATTCTGGACTATCCTTCTGGCTTCTGGTGGGGGCTTCGGGGATACGAGACCTATAGCTGGCTTAGCTTCCTTCTCCAGTGAGGGGGACATCAGGGCTTCCAGCTCGCTCCTGATGCGCTGGACACTTGGAGTTGGGGGCTCTGCCGGGGTGTAGTCCACAGGTGGGAGGGTCAGGTTTGGAGGAGGCTCTTTCTTGGGTAAATTGGGGCTCTTGTCTCTGTTCTCTCCAACTCTGGAGGGAGGTGTGGAACTAGTCCCATTGCAGGGAGAGCGTTCTTCTCTCCTTGAGCCACACAGGTAGGCAGCCAGCTCACTTCTCAGTTTGTCCATTTGTTTGGGATCCCGCCAGTCCACAGGATCTGAGGAGTCCTCAGCCACTGGGGTGGCAGTTTTGGGTTTGGGGATGGGAGAACTTGGTTTGGGGCCTTTCCCAAGCCCTGTCACTGGTACTGGGACCTTTTCGATCACAGGCAGAGGGGGAGCCTCTGGAGGGAGAGGAGGTGCTGGGGGTGGCAATGGAGAGGCTTGGGGTGGCATTGCTGTTCTGTTTATTTTGGGGCTAGTTTGGCTAGGCTGAGGACTGGCTGGCACAGTGTCCTGAAGCTTCCTGGGGCCATCTGGCTCCTGAGTCCCATCAGGGTATGCCTGGGATGCAGGGCGGATATGGAAGCTGGGTGGTAAAGGAAGCCGATTTGAGATCTTCTTAGGAGTCTCCATCTCTTGGGGATCCCTAGGAGACCCCTGAACTGGGATTGATGAGGTCCTGACAGGTGCTGGAGGGGGCACCTTTAAGGAACGAGGGAAGGTAAGATGGGGGTCAGGCTTGGACTCAGTAGGAGGGGCAGCAGGGCTTCTTGGAGGGCTGTTCTTGTGGGCCTCAGACTGCCCCCCATTGAGCACAGTCTCTGATTTCCATTTGGAGACACCAGTAGAAGGGAAGGGCCAAGGCCCTGTTGGGGTACGAGGAGGCTCAAGGACAGGGGGTCCTGGTGCTGGCATAGGAGGAGGTGGGGGTGCCAGGAAGGCTAGGGGTGGGGCTGGAGGGATAAAGTCCGGAGGGGTGGGGGTCGGTGGGGAGGAGAGTATAGATGGGGGAGACAGAGCCCCAGGCACAGGTGGTGGAGGTGGGGCCATGTTGGGTGGTGGTGGGGGTTGCGGTTCCAGCAGTAAGGGAGGAGGTGGGGGTGCCATGGAAGGTGGGGGAGGGGGTGGAGACTCCGCCTTGAACATCGAGACATCAGGAGGTGGTCCTGGGGCTGGGCCCACAGGGGGTGGAGGGATGATGGGCTCTTCACCATAGTGCCCAGATCTCAGGTCACCCACAGAGCTGTATAGTCGGAGGTTACCATTGATTTGCAGGCTGCTGCCTGTAAAAAAAGGAGAGGAGTGAAACAGGTCTAGAACTTCCAGGGTACCCCTCTCATCATTCCCCACTCCCAGGGAAGGCCACCCCTGAAGGTAAATGATCAGCTTCTGTTTCTCAGGTAGGAAAGACTGGGCAGCAGCGGCCCGAGCCTTGCACACTCGGCAGCATGACCCTCCTCTTAACAGCAGGGTAGGAGGACGATGTGACTTAATGGGATCTGGGAGAAAGTGGCCAGCACAGCCCCATTCTCAGTCTACCTGACCAAGTTGTCCTGGCACAAGCAGAAGAGACACAGTAAAGGGGTTGGGAGGTGGGGCAGTGAGGAGGGGAAAAAATGCTACTGATTAGGGATAGGAGGGCTGGGCAGGGGATAGGCCTAGATGTTCCCTTCCTCTCCCTCCCCAGAAACAGGCTTTTCCAGCTGTGTCTTCTCCCCCAGACCCCTCCAGTTCAGTTTTGCTACATCTGGAGGCAAAGGACAGCAGAGTATCGGGGCTCTCACAGTTTGGGCCTATTTGGAGGACAATAGCCAGTGTCTGAGAGCCCCTCAAGCCTGAAGGCAAGGGGACCCGAGGTACCTTTATTTGTCACTTCTTTGCCCACAAAATCCTCAGGGACAGATGGGGTTGGCACAGCCAGTCCATGGTTTTCCTGTGCATTCTAGAAGAAACCCAACAGTGGTGAGTAGGGAAAGATATAGATTCAAAATTTTTTTTTTAAATGATTTCTTTCTGCTGAATTTAAATCTGTCCTCAGACACTTGACACTTACTAGCTATGTGACCCTAGGCAAGTCACTTAACCCCAACTGCCACGAAAAGAAAAATAAAAGACTTTTATAAGGTAACTCCTCTGACTCAAGAGCTTAAAATGGTTCCCCATTGCTTGTTTTTTTTTTCTCGAGGCAACTGGAATTAAGTGACTTGCTCAGGGTCACATAGCTAATAAATGTCTGAGGCCATATTTGAACTCAGGACCTTCTGTCAGGGCTAGTGTTCTATCCACTGTGCCACCCAGGTGCTTACTGGACAAAATTTAAACTGTTGAGCCTAGCATTTGAAGCCTTCCGTAGTTGGCCCTGACCTACCTTATGGACCATTTGCTACAGTCAGACCAACTTCCTCATTCTCTTCCATTTGATTCCCTGGGTTTGCCCCTCACTTGGAATATGTACCATTCCCTCCTCTAGCTGCAGCAAGACATAGATCAGGACAACTGGAGATGGTCCCGGATGCAGTGGGAGACCTGGTGACTTTGCACATCCGTGCCTCACTTAAATCCAATTCATTCGCAAGTCATGACATCACCTTCCTGATGTCATTGGTCCTTAGGACAAACAATCACACTCTCGCTGTGCAAGTCCTATCCTTTAGAGCTCAGTTCAGTTCTTGAATACTCTGAAAAGTCTTGCTCTCTCAGACACAATGACTTCATTTCACCTGTCCAGCTTTGTCTCTTAGACAGTTAACTCCTGGGGGGCAGGGATAACATCTAGAATGCACAGCCCTCATGGTGCCTGGAGAGGTGCTAGATATGTACATAGTTGCTGTTTGCTGATGGACATAGGCAGGCCCCTGGAAGGATGGTACAAAGGCTCCTAAAATATAACATAAGAAATTCACTTTCCAGTGAAACTGGTCTACTTGCTATTTCCTATTCATGACATTTCACCTCCTCCCTCTCCCTTTTCCGAAGCTATCTCTCCTTCGTGGAATGCCCTTCCTCTTCACTTCTACCTCTTGAAACTCCTACCTCCTTTCCAGGGTCTGCTCAAGCGCCATCTCTCACGGGAGGCCGTTTCCAATTCCCCCAGTTCTTACTACCACTTCCCCAAATCATTTTAAAATTTCACATCTGATTGTGAGCTCCTTGAGGGCAGGGACTGTCTTTTGCTTTTCTTTGTATTCTCAGTGCTTAGCCCAATGTCTAACACATAGTAGGTGCTTAATAAATGTTTGACAGAATTTGTTTTTGTATATATTTTGTATTCACTTATTTAGATATGTATTGAGGGGTCCCTCCCAATGTAAACACTTTGAGGGCAGGGACCATTCTATTCTTGTTTTTGATCAATACCCAGTAGGTAGTTCATAAACGGCTTGTTTTGTTGGAGTTAGACATTAAGGAGAAAATAACTTAGAAAGTGTTAAGAGACAGAATTGGAAAGGGCTTTAGAGCTGATCTAATCCAAATTTTCCATTGGATTCGTGGGGAAACTGAGACTCTGAGGGCTAATCAGGATCCAGGGACCCCTAATTCAAGAAATCCTCCTGGACTGAGCCTGAATTAGCTTCCCCATCTTCCCCTAATCCCAGCCTCTCACGTGCTATTGTCTTAGCATCCTTACTGTTGGCTCTATCCTCCGTACCACAATCTGCTTCCATTTCTCTTTTATGGGACAAAAGCTGACATCAGTTATAGAGCCAGGAGGAGGCAAACTTTTATGGAAATTAGATGTAGTCCTTGGCAAGTTGCCTGGACAAATCTGGTTACAGGGTTTACCTTTGGGGCTTCCAGCTGGAGGTTTGGGGGGAGGGAGTGGTTTGCAGCTGTTTCTACAAACAGGCCACAGGCCTCCAGGCTGGAGGCTTCTGAGGGTTGATGTCTTTATGGGGGCAGCTGTTGTAATCTTCATCTTCCAATACTACCCTACACCAAACCTCTGGGGAAGAAGTTGGCCTCAAACTCAGGTCATAGAATCATAGAGCTTGGCACAGAACTGAACACATAATAGGCATTCAATAAGCCATTTGCTGAATGAATGAATGGAATTTTAAAACTCTGGAGTGGTCAAAGCTGGAAGGGACCTTAGAAATTAGTTAAATCCAACCTGCTCATTTTATAGTGGAGAAAATTTTGTCCAGAGAGGGGAAGAGATTTGCCGAGGAGTACAAGTCTAGTGAGGGGGAAAGACCAGATTTGAACCCAGGTCTTCTCCTATTATTTTCACTATACTCCAGAGTCACTTTGGATGGTCTATACACAACTCTAGAAGCCAGGCCTCTGTGACCTTCAGCTTCACAGCCCTTGACCTCAAAGTGCACTTAAGTTTCATTACACTCAAAAACCACAACTAATGCAAACCCATTCTCAGACCCAGTTTGCAACACTAGCCTGGAGAGATTGGATGCTTTTTAATAACGCTTTTAATACCCTTCTTAAAAACACCATGAGGATTCATGGGACACACCCTTCATGCCTTCCTTTGTTAGAGAAGCAAATGCTTTCAGGGTGTTCCGGTCACATAGCACAGAGGGCAGGACACCCCTTTGAACTTTAGAGTTTGGGTGAGGCTCAAAGTCAGCCTCTCACCTCCTCACAAAAGCCTTCCTAGATGGGGCCTAAATTGGCTCACCACCCACTCGTCATCCAAGACACCACCCACTCCCTCTCTTCTACTCATTCAGTCTTTATACAAACAATCAACTCAATTACTCACTCCCTTGATGACGTCTGTGGCATGCTTTAAAATTCCTGGCTAACTTGCCTTTCTCACCCAATATACTCTTCTGGACCCATCTGTCAATGCTCATTTGCTCAGACAATGCATATATAAATTCATTTAAATATCCGCCCAAAAGGAACCCAACTAGGAAGGTAGGGCCGGCTGCCCTCTAGCAGGAGTTGGGTCCTCACAAGTATGTAGACCCAGAATAACATTACCATATGCCTTCCTGCAGAATCCTAAGGCCTCGCCTTTCCATCTGACTTGTAAGCTGCACGTACCTTCCTATGTTCATTGTCCCCCCATTAGAATGCCCTCACCTTCAGAGCAGGGATTATCTTTTCTATTTGTATTGCTGGAGCTGTAGCACATAATAATGCTTAATAAACATCTTTTCATTCATTCAATAACAGCTCACATTTCTATAATACTTTATGATGTATAAAGTGAAGTGCTCCCCTCAAAACACATAGGCAGTACAAGATTATTGCCCTTATTTTGCAGAAGAATAAACAGACAAGGTGAAAAACAATGATTTTTTAACATGCATACACACACATGTGGATATGTATATATGCATATATATATACATGCTAATTATTTTTATTATTCAATATATTAGTAAAAGCACTGCACAGAAGTGGGCCAAGGACAAACCTTATGTCATGTCACTAGAAATCCTCTCCTGGAGAACCTTCCAGGTCTATTAATCAACAATCTTTGGATTTAGTCAATTCTTTTCTTTTTAAAAGAGCATTCATCAAAAACTACTACGTGCCAGGTACCGTACCGTACTAAGCACTTTACAAATACACCATTTGATCCTAACCACTACCCTGGGACATAAGTGCAATTATTATCTCCATTCTACAGTTGAGGAAACTGAGTCAGGTAGTGGTTAAATGACTTGCCCAAGGTCATGAAGGTACCATGTGTCTGATTTGAACTCAGGGCTTCCTAACTCTAGGCCCAGTGCTCTATACGCTGAGACATCAAACTCCCTGCTTGCCTTGCCTTGATTGCCCCCATTTTGCAGAAGAAAAAGCAGGAAAAGAGAGGTGAACCAGGTCCTTGCTAGGTTGCATTCTTGGAAGAAAAATAGGAAGCTTCACTTTTCTAACCTCGTCACGTCTCATTAGGACTCTGAAATAGCTTCTAATTGGTCATCAACAGATGGATGCCATCGCTTTATTGGATGTTTTTGCTTGATTGGTTTGCTTTGCCATAAGGGAGGAGAGTTCTGAAATGACTGCTGTTGAGATAAAAGGCCATAAAACATTTTTTAAAAATGAATTGGAAACCAAATCCTGGAAGGGGGAGTTACTGGGCTTCGTTGGGATCTGGTTCTTCATCAGGACTCTTAGCTGACCCCCTCACAACACAATTGAAGGGAAAGCCCACGGAACCAGAAGCTGGGGGACCTCAGTGGTCTGGCTCCCTCACTAACTCACTGTGTGACCTTGGATGAGTCATAGTTCCTCTTCTGTCAGATCAAAGACATGATCTCTAAGTTCTTTTGCAGCTCTACTATCATTAGAGCCAGTCACATACTGGTTGGGGATAGCAGAGGCTAGACTCCTGATCTCCTGCCTCTAAGTCCAGTTCTCTTCTCACCATGCCCCGCTGCTCCTACGTGTCTCAGCTTGTTTCTATATATGCCTGCACCCCTGAACCTGCATTTCCTTCACTGGCCCTTTCTTTGCTAATCTAGAGAATCAAGAGGGGGAGAAGGGACTCATCTTTGGACTTTGGACTTTCTTTGGGGAGCCTTCAGAAGTTTTTCATTCCCCAGAATACAAGCCAATTCCCTTTCCTTGCCCTGTTCAGGCGTTGGCAGTAGAGCGAACATTAGATGTGGAATCAAAAGGCCTGGATTCAAATCTTGTTTCTGCCACTCGGGCAACTAACAGGTGATGCAAAGGACATAGTGGAAGAACTGGAGTCAGGAAGACTTGAAGCTGTGTAACCCTGGGCAAGTTACTCAACTTCTGTGTGCCTCAGTTTCTTCAACTGTAAAATTAGGACAACGATGCCTTAAGGTCAGTACAATTATCCCTTCCACATCGACACTTTCCCCATCGAAGTTTTGATATATCTCAGTTTTGATATATTACAGATCAGCATAAGAAATGAAATGGGAATTTTTGGGGGGAATTTTGCAAAGCCACAGATGACAAAACAAAAGCCAGCAGATGACACAGAAAAAGTTTAGAAAC